CCTTCTTGACAACACAACAAATGGTAATCTGAAATCAAACACAACACTACCTGCAGGACCCAAGTCCAGCAGATGGAGCTGGGTGTAAATAGCTTCAGTTGCCAGTTACAATAAAGACAAAGTACACAGAGGAAGGGTGCTTGGGATTTGAAAGGGAAACAGATAAGCACAAGGTATTAAGAACTTCTGAAGTCCCTATCAGCACAGAGCCACAGTCCCTCAAAGGTTGGCTGAAAAAGTCATAGTTGTGGCTGGTGTCCAATACAACATGGGCAGGTAGAATAAGGTTTTGAGTTCTAAGGCACTTCCACTCAGTCTACAAGGAACAGGAGAGAAAGATGCCAGGTTTCTGATCCGTGTTGGGCTGGGGAGAGAACAACAGCTGCTTTTGTTATCTCTGAACAAGGAATCCTGGGCATGTGAGATTGCTCTAGCCCTAATGACTTGTTGGATGGTTAAATGAAGTTAACCAAATGGCATTTCAGTAGAGAACAAGACCTTAAAAATCTCAAGGGAGAGAAACAACCCTTACCATGAATTTTAGGTTCTGTTCCAGCGACAGTGTGTGTGTGTGTGTGTGTGTGTGTGTGTGTGTGTGTGTGTGTGTGCCAAACTGAACAACCTACAAAGTACTTCACAATTACTTTTTGTGGAGCGTTTTGTATTCAACCTGATTTGAATTGGTTCCAGTACCATCTGGATAGAGTGTTAAATTTGTTTTCTTTGATCATATGTAGCAAAGAACCTTGCTTTACAGTCTGTGGTGTTTATGGCATTCTTCTTTGGGGAACTGGTCATAATTTCCCAGCACCATGGCCAGCTCCAACTAAGGAGCAGCATCCTGGGTATTTTGTTTTTGTAGTTAGTATCACCCTAGGGTAACTTTGATCATGTTATTGAGCCTTATAGACTAGGAACTGGAGAGATGGCTCAGTTGATAAAATGCTTACTGTACAAACATCAGGACCTGAGTTCAATCATCAGAACCCATGGGAAAGTGCCAGGCATGGTGGCATTTGCAAATAAACCCAGCACAGGGGAGGCAGTGACAGACAGATCCCTGGTCCTCACTGCTCAGCCAACCAACTGAACTAGTGAAGCCCAGGGCAGTGAAAGAGCCTTTCTTTTACAAACAAAGTAGCTTCTGAAGGTCAGTTGATCTCTTACCTCTGCATTCATGGGCACACGTGTGTAATGTACATGCAAATGTAACAGACACATATATAGTGTACATAGATTGATAGCTCCATGAAATCAAAGCAAAAGCACGTGAACAACAGCAAATAACAACCTCCCAAGCTTGAGGTCTCATATATGCTCAAGACACTCCCAGTGACACAATTCACTTACTGTTGCCTGCATATCCAACACCATGTCTGCCTGCATGCCACTGTGTTTCACCATGATGATAATGGACTAAACCTCTGAAACTGTAAGCTGCCCAATGAAATGTGTTCCTTTGTAAGAGTTGCCTTGGTCATGGTGTCTCTTCATAGCAATAGAAACCCTAGCTAAGACAGAAGTTAGTACCAGGGACTGGGATATTGTTGTGATGGGCTTTCCCATGTTTTTGCTTGGAGGAATTTGGAATTTGGTACTTGAGTTAGGAAAGCAGTGGAATGCTTTAAGCACTGCTTAATGGGCCATACTACTAGGAGCCTGGAAGGCAATGGTGCTAAGGGTTGTTTGAACTGTTGGGGGCCTGGTTCAAGAGGTTTCAGAGAAATTTTTCAATATGCTACCTAAAAATTATTCTTGGGTCATTTTGGTGAAGAATGTGACTGCTTTTTCCCCAGATCCAAAAAGTTTGCCTGAGGCTAAAGTGAAGAGTTTTAGACTAATTCCCTTGAAAGAGGAAATATCAAAATAGCCTAGTATAGACTCTAGTGTGTGGTTACTAGTGTTAACTCTAAGGAAGATATATAATGAAAAAGAGCAAGCTGAGAAGGAAAAATATTTGAGGAGAAAAAGAGCATCAGAAAGTGGAATGGCTAAGTCCTATGTTCAAGGAGATAAAAGATTAAGAATGAAAAAAGGGGAGTGGTGACCTCAGGGCAAGATTCCATCCAGCTAAGTTTCCAACTTGTGAAAAGCAATTAAAGAAAAGCTTAGAGCCAGGTTGCTGTAGGATGTTCCGTATGTCAAGTGTGTCGCTGATTGGTCAATAAATAAATCACTGATTGGCCATTGGCTAGGCAGGAAGTATAGGCGGGACAAGGAGGAGAATAAAGCTGGGAAGTGGAAGGCTGAGTCAGAGAGACACTGCCAGCTGCCACGATGAGAAACAGCATGTGAAGATGCCGGTAAGCCACGAGCCATGTGGCAAGGTATGGATTAATGGAAATGGATTAATTTAAGCTGTAAGAACAGTTAGCAAGAAGCCTGCCACGGCCATACAGTCTGTAACCAATATAAGTCTCTGTGTTTAGTTGGTCAGGTCTGAGCGGCTGTGGGACTGGCAGGTGAGAGAGATTTGCCCTGACTGTGGGCCAGGCAGGAAAACTCTAGCTACACCAGGTGGTGGCACATAACTTTAATCCCAGCACATGGGAGGCAGAGGCTGGTAGATCTCTGAATTTGAGGACAGCCTGGCCTACAGAACAAGTTTCAGGACAGCCAAGCTTAGACATGGGCAAAAGAAATCTGGTGAAGATATGATTGAACAAGGGGATCATGTTCCAGCCCCAGAAAGCAGCAGAACTTGGCAGCTTCAGTGACATGGTTCTGGCTTTAGAGGTAAGGACAAAACAAAGGAGTTATGGAATATTCCTCCATGACTAAGGAAAGCTGCTGAGGCATGTGTCAGGAGTGTCCCTGAATGGAGGCCCACTGCACAAAGCTGTGAAATTGAAGCCTGGATTGCCTTAGAGACCCCAAAATGTTGGAGATGCCAGAGTCGTGGGATACTTTCTGAGGAAAACTGCTAATAGGGATTGGAACCAGCCCAAGGCAAAGAACAGTGTTTCATTCAAAAAAAGTTAAAAGGAGTTGAAGATCTGAAAAGTGCTTTGACATCAGACAGGGAGAAGCAGAGTTTGGAGTTTGCCCAGCTGGTTTTTGGTCTTGCTTGGTCCAGTATTTCTTTATTATGCTCCATTCCCTATGTTTTGGAACAGTGATGTATATCCTGTGCCATTATATGTTGGGAGTATGTGACCTGCTTTTTTCTTTTGATTTTACAGGGAATTACAATTAAGAGATTATGTGAATGAATCTCAGAAGAGACTTTGAAATTTGTACTTTTAAATAAGTTTGAGACTGTTATAGACTATGGGGACTTTTGAAGTTGGACTGAATGCAATTTTGCTTTATGATATGGCAATAAGCCTTTGGGGGCCAGGGCATAGAATGTGGTGCTTTGAAAGAAGAGGACCCCCAAAGGGAGTGACACTATTAGGAGGTGTGACCTTTTGGAGTAGGTGTGGTCTTGTTGGAAGAAGTGTGTCACTGTGGATGTGGCCTTTGAAGTTTCATATATGTTCAAGCCACTCCCACTGATACAGTTCACTTCCTGATGCCTGCAGACAAAATGTAAAACTCTCAGCTCCAGCACCATGTCTGCCTCCATGCCGCCATATCCCACCATGATGATAATGGATTGAATCTCTGAAATTGTAAGCCACCCAAAGAAATGATTTCCTTTATAAGAGTTGCCATGGTCATGATGTCTCTTCACAGCAGTAGAAACTCTAACAAAGACATCATAGTTAGCTCCAGTTGTCAACTTTACTCAAACCTAAGTCACCTGGGAAGAAAGGAACCTCAACTGATGAACTGCCACTATCAGACTGGCCCACAAGCACACGTGTGCAGCACTTTTTGATTTCTAATTGTTATAGGAGATCCCTTGCCACCATGAACAGTGATATCCCTGGGCCATTAGGTCTGGACTACGTAAGAAAGGTAGCTGAGAAAGACAGGAAACAAGCCAACAAGCATTGTCCTTCTGTGATTTCTGTTTCAGTTCCTGCCTTGAGTTCTTGCCCTGCTGTCCCTTGATGACAGACTGTAGCAAGTATGATGAAATAAACCCCTTCCTCAGATTGTTTCTGTACCAAAAAGCCACTTTGAGAAGAGTGGGTTTGTTTGACTAACAGTTACAGTTCCTCACTGAAGGAAGTGAAGGCGGGAACTGAAGAAGAAACAACAGAAGAATGCTGCTTATTGCCTTGCCTTCCTTGGCGTGCTCAACTTACTTTCTTGTACAACCCAAAATCACCTGCCCAAGGGTAACACTACCCACAGTGGCTGGGCCCTACCATACTAAACATTTAAATTAAAACTGCCCAACAGACATGTCCAAAGAGCAATCCAATGGGGGCAACTCTTCAGTTAAGGTTGCCTTTTCCCAGGTGACTCCAGTTTGTGTCAGATTAACAAAAACTAACCGGTACAATTGTGAGATCCAGGACAGGCTCCAAAGCTACACAGAGAAACCCTGTCTCAAAAAACAAAAACAAACAAACAAACAAAAAAAAAAAACAGTTGACCCCTGTTGGATTGACACAGAAACACAACACTATTGAACTATAAGCATTCCTTTTTTTTTTTTTTTTTTTTTTAAAGATTTATTTATTTATTATGTATACAGCATGTATGACCGCAGGTCAGAAGAGGGCGCCAGATCTCATCATAGATGGTTGTGAGCCACCATGTGGTTGCTGGGAATTGAACTCAGGACCTCTGGAAGAGCAGTCAGTGCTCTTAACCTCTGAGCCATCTCTCCAGCCCCTCCTTTGTTTTTTTTTAAACCCCAAGACTTCATAATAATATTTCAGAATACAACTTTAAACAATACACAGTTTTTTTAAAAAAAATGTGAACACTTGAAAATTCCAAAGTATTTTTAAAATATCCAAAGTTTCTTAACTGTGGGCTTCTATGAAATCAACAGCAAGTTAAATGATTTCTTGTTTCAAGAGAGAACTGAGATACAAAAACAAGCACATTTAAGCAAAACCAAAGTCCAGCTGGGTAGCTCAAATACATCAGTAACTTACTCACGATCGTGTAGGTTTCAAAGGAGCTTGTGCAGCTCCATCTCTCCGGCTCTGCCATCAATAGCACACACAGACTGTCTGCTAAAGTCAGGCCAGTTCCACACCACACCTGCTGTTCTTGGTAGTTATCCTACAGTCCTGGCATCTCAAACTCCTACCAGAGGATCTTCATAACCTTGGGCTGTGCTTTCATCAATGGCAGTTCCTGGCCTCCTCAGGAACTTCATCACTTCATCAACCTGAAAAAATAATTAAAAGTCTTTAGATCTCTATCTATCAGATAGGTCATAGGGTCATTCTAAGAGGTGATTTTTTTCATTTCAGTGAGTCCTGTTTTTCTTTTTTCTCTTGTACTTATTTTTTATTGTGAATGAGAGCAGGACATTTGAATCTAACTTTATTGTAACTCATAAAAGTTACATTTTCCTCTTCTTTAGAGCTTGCTGCTATTATTTTTATTTTTATTCATTGTTTTTATAGGCTGTTTCTATGCCAGGAATCAGCTTGAGTTGTAAACTGAGGTCTTCTCTGGTCTCCCCAAGTCCAACCCTTCCCTTCAGCATGAGTACCAATCTCTAACTCTCCGTGTATATGCAGCTGCATTGGAATAGCCTAGTCTTTGACAGTTCCTCAAAGCAGACAAAGAGAAAAATGAAGGAGAGCCACATGTAAAGTAAAACCTTGTAAGAAACATCATCCAATTAGAGAGTAGTTTGTACATGTGTGGGAGATGCCACAACAGTGGGGCCTCCGGCTTCTTTGTGCCTCTAGGATATGATGTAGCAACAAGTTCTCAAGATGCTAGATCCCTGACACTTGGAAGGCAAACTCCTATTTGTTCACACTTACTCCTGTAACCTTTAACCAGCTTCTTCCAGAATATATGTGCAGATACCTGTCGTAGGCTGAGGGCTAACATGTGGGTAGCTGGTGGAAACTGAAATTGATCATGATTTACCTAAACAACTTTCTTATAAAAGTTATGAACCTTCAGTAAATAGATTTCAGAATCCAAACTGTTTGCAACAAATAGATCTGACCAATGTAATTGTCTCTGTGAGGAGATGGGTTCCTGGTACCTCATACTTTTCTATCTTCCAGAATGTATCTCCTTCAATAGGCATCTATTTATTCATATATTTGAGACAATGTCTTACTATGTCATCCAGGCTCTCCTGAAAGTCGCTCGGTAGCACAAGCTGACCTTGAACCTACAGTGATCCTCCTGCCTCATTCTCCAAATGCTGGGATTACAGGTGTAAGCTATCACTGTTTTCTGAAATATTTCATAGTTAGTGATAATTGGCTCTTTTTCAGATGTTTTGGGTATGTGTGGGCATATTTGGTAGTTATATTGAATAATGTCACATTCATTACCGATGGGAGTGTCTTTTTGTATGCTGTGAAAATATGTTGCTCTAATTGATTGATAAATAAAGCTGTTTGGCCAATGGTGAGGCATAATAGGGTTAGGTGGGACATTCTAACTAGAGAGGAGGAAGGAGAAAGGCAGAAGAGGGAGGCACTGCCAGCTGTCACCAAGAGAAGCAAGATGTAAAGTTACTAGTAAGCCACAAGCCATGTGGCAAAGTATAGATTTATAGAAATGGGTTAATTTAAGATGTAAGATCTAGCTAGCGAGAAACCTGAGCCAATAGGCCATACAGTTCGTAATTAATATAAGCCTCTGTGTATTCATTTGGGTCTGAGCGGCTGTGGGACTGTGAGGCCATGGGAGTCAGGTGGGCACAGGAAAATTTCTAGCTACACATTAACTTCTACTTAAATTTGAGATTGAAATGTATAGTCCTTAGTCATTCTAACCAGAGGTGGGATAGCTATCATACCAGTCCTATGTCCTTATAAAATGCCTCAATTTTCACAAATGACTGGCAGTCCAAATGCTTCTCAGCAGACTAGTAAAACACAAGATGTTATTCTTGATTGGTATGAAATTGTTTAATGACCATATGAATCTAGTATGTTTCCCATATGCATTTCTGTTCAGTAGGTCTAGGAAGGCCAAGACTTTGACTTTCTTGTTTTGGTTTGGTTTTGTTTTTTTTGACACAGGGTTTCTCTGTGTAACTTTGGAGCCTTTCCTGGAACTCACTATGTAGCCCAGGCTGGCCTGGAACTCATAGATATATCCACCTGCCTCTGCCTCCCGGGTGCTGGGATTAAAGGCATGCACCACCACTGCCCGGCAAGACTTTGACTTTCTAACGAGCACCTAGACATGTCCTTGATTCTCACACAACATTGAGCATCAAGGCTAGAGATTGCAAGTGATATAAGTGCAGGGAACTTTGGCATTTGTGTTTTTATTAGTTTGTGTCATTTGTTTTAAATATGTTTTAGTGTATATGAGACTGTTACATATATGTGTGCAGAAACAACCCGCTGGTTCCAGTTAGTGTTGCTTGTATGTACATGATTTCAAGACTGACTACTACTTGTTTTGTTTTTTTTTAAGATTTTATCGTACTATTTTTCTACTTTGTCGGTAGAGTCTGTGTGTAGCTCTATACATGTGAGTGTCAGGGTCCATGGAGGTCAGAGGCATCAGATCCCCTGGAGGTGGAGTTAAGGATGTTCTGAGCTACCTGATGTGGTAGCGCCATGATGAACTCAGATATTCCCCAACAGGAGTGTGCACTCTTAACAGCTGAGCTGTCTCTCCAGCGCAGATTTTGAGGATTTTTAGCCTGGTCACACTTCCGTGTTCACTCTCTGCTTCCTGAGTGTCAATGGAGTGAAAGGTGATCAGTCTATTCCCTGACTGCCAGGCCAGCTTCATACGCCTGCTGCAATGCCCTCCCCACCACGACTGTGCCCTCTGACTCTGTCCATTTTTATTAATGAAACATTTCTCCTCTAGTTGTTTGTTTTTTGTTGTTTTTTTTTTTTGGTCAGAGTACTCTGTCATAGCAACAGCAGACTAACTAACCCACTTGAGTTTTTTAGAAGCATTTACTGCACTGAGAAAACTTTCAAGTTATATTAATACAATTTTTCATTTAATTACCCTGAGAGAAGGCTCCAGCCATTTTATTATATATGAGACTAAGATTATAATCATTTAAGCAACTTATCTGCAGTTATTTGGCTCTTAAATAATATAGCCAAACTTAAAACTTAATCTGTTGTAATCTATTCTGCTTTTTAAATCTGATTATATTTTTCCTTCTAATATACAGTTCTTTCATATTGTTTCTTCTTCTTACTTAAAGCATAATTTATTATTATAATTGCATGAATTCCTTTTTGTACTTTTTTATTTGTGTATGCGTGTGTGTGTGTGTGTGTGTGTGTGTGTGTCTGTGTGTCTGTGTGTCTGTGTCTGTGTCTGTGTGAGTGTCTGTTTCTGTGTGTCACATGTGTGCAGGTACCTGGGAGGCCAGAATAGGGTATCAAATCATCTGGAGCTGGAGTTACAGGTGCTTGTGATCTGCTCAATATGGGTGCTAGGAACTGAAATCAAGTCCTCTGGAAGATCACCACGCACCCTTAACTACTGGGCTGTCTCTTCAGTCCCCTCATCGATTCTTTATGGCATTAAAAATACTTTGTTTTCCCTATAATTTAGGCTTCTTTTTTAAAAAAGGACATTTTCATTAATTTTTTGAGAATGTCATACATGTTTTGGTCATCTTCACCCCCAATGTCTCCCAGATTCACATTTTCTGCCCTTACCTACCAAACTACCCTACTTTGGGAGTTTCTTTTTTTTTTTCCATTTTAACTTTTTTTTTAACCCATCAAATCCAGTTTGTGCTTTGCAACCACTCTTAGGAATGGAGTCTCCTCTGGAGTGTGGTTGACCTACAGGGAATTATACTATTAAAGCAAACTGACTTTTCCTGTATCAGCAGCTATCAAATTCCAAATTGCTCTTTAACTGTAATTAGGAATTTATACCACACTCCCATAAATGCTGGGATATTTCCTGGCTTGAGCATGCATAGGTCTTGGGCATGCTTTTACAATCAATGTGAGCTTATATGGGCAACTGCCCTTTTGTGTCTAGCAAACACTGTTTCTTGAAGTTTTCCACTACCTCTCACTTTTATCTTTCCACCTCCTCTCCCATAAAGAAACTTGAGCTTAGAAGGGACATATATGGTATATACATGCCATTTAGAGCTGAACACTGTATGGTGTCTTATTCTCTGAACATGCAGAAGTTGAGTATTCTCTATTAATTGCCACATATTGCAAGATTCTCTGGTAAGGGTTGAGGGATGCATTGACCTATAGATACAGCATAAGTCATTAGGAGTCATTTTATTTGTATGTTCATTTAGCAAAATAATAGTGCTATGTTCTCTTCTAGGACCTATGACCTATCTGGTCACAAGTTCTTGGTCCTGTTAACAGCACAAGGTATGGGGTCTGGCTCACAGAGAAGGCCTTAGAAAATAGATGGTTGGTGGGAACCAGACTGATCCAAGGCTTTCTCAGAAGTCCTGATGAAAGGACAAGGGGAACATTAGTTCTATGTTGTCCTTGCCCAAGGGCAGACTTGGCAATGTCCATTCTGGGGCTAGGGTCAGGGTCTCAAAGAAGTTATGGTTGTAGTTACTGGGAACTCAGCTCTTCCCCTGGGTTTGGTTACCAGTCCTAAGGCAGCTGTTTATGAGGTACCCCATGCTTTCTTTGCCAACATTATTTGTCTTTCCACTGACTCTGTCCCGGTCTTCCCATACAAATAGTATAAAAGATGCTCAATAAACTTCCTTGGCATAAGACATAGCTTGCACAAGACCTCCTGACCCTGGGTTTCCTATCTTCTTTATTTCTTCCTGATCCTCTCAGGAACATATTACTGAAGAACAATCTGTTATTCCAGGTCAGTTGGTTACTCCCATAACAATTGTGTGACTATTGGGCCAGTGGGCATATTTTATCAGATCAATCATTATTGCAGCTCCCAGAGTTCAAAGATGAATTAAGTTGATGACGGGTCTTCTCCTCTAGTAATGCATATAGCATCTTCTAACATTATAAAAGTTAGTCAATATGGATGAAGATTCCAAATGAGTATGGGCTTGATTTCTGCATGTTGTGATTCAGGTGTATTAGCAATACAGTCTTCCTGTAGGATTCTGAAGGATCACCAAGAGTATTGGCAATAGCCTCCAATGCTTGGGAATCTAGGGAAGCACACAAGCCAACAATTCAAAAGAGGTAACCAATTCCTGGTACTGGAGGACTTCTTCTTGCTAGCATGTGGTAT